AGCGTGCGGCCCTCGGAGCCCTTCCTCACCCGGTACCTGCTGGGGCCGCACAAAAACCTCTCCGAGACTCAGGTACTGCGGCCCGGGTCACCTTGCGCCCCCGTCTGCGTGTCTCCGTTCGTGTGTTCCTTGCGGCACGTGCGTGCCGGGGGTTACCGCGGGCTTTAAAAAACTCTCCCCCCAGGTGTTCAATGAGATCTACCCGGTGTGGACTTACTCCTACCTGGCACTGCTGTTCCCGGTGTTCCTGGCCACAGACTACCTGCGGTACAAGCCCGTGGTCCTGCTGCAGGGCCTGAGCCTCATCGTCACCTGGTTCATGCTGCTGTACGCCCAGGGACTGCGGGCCATCCAGTTCCTCGAGTTCTTCTACGGGATGGGGACCGCCACCGACATCGCCTATTACTCCTACATCTACAGCGTCGTCGATGTCGACCTGTACCAGAAGGTCACCAGCTACTGCCGGAGCGCCACCCTGGTGGGCTACACGGTGGGCTCCGTATCCGGGCAGGTCCTTGTGTCAGTGGCAGGATGGTCCCTCTTCAGCTTGAACGTTGTCTCCTTAACCAGCATATCCATTGCCTTTGGCACAGCTTGGTTCCTGCCGATGCCACAAAAAAGCCTTTTCTTTCACCATGTCTCAAGTCAGCAGCTCAGTTGGGAAATGAAGGTCATGGACTGTAAAAATGGATCAGCTGTTCAAGATCATCCCAAAGTGCAGAGGGCACCTGGCTGGGACGACGAGACAAAAGTTCCCTTAAATGGGGAGGGTCATTCAGCAGAGAAGCAGGTGAGCTGTTGTGAGCCCTGGGTTGATGTAAGTAAAAGCTGCAATACTGACGTCGTTTTCATGCGTGCATATGTGCATATATGTACACAGCAGTAGAGATGTAATATCCAACAGCAAAAAGTATCCCTTTGCTTATCCCGCTTCCTTATTTACGGCACAGGAAAATTTATTCCTGGCTTCCTTTTCCTGATTGAGCATGGTAGGCTGCTCCTTAGGTTTTTTTGAAGTTGTTCTGCAACTCATAAGGCTGTGATTAAAATTCTCTGGGCATCAAACTGCTGTTCAATGGTACAAAGCAAGGGACATCTCTGGGGCATTAAAAATTGTGCTTATGTCCAAATTCTGCATGTGCTTCTGGATACACGCTGTGACTTGCAGAAAAGAAGTAATTCTTCCTGCACTTATGTTTTGAAAACACTTGTTATTTCAACTGTTGTGCAGTAATAAGCTGTGTAGTAATTGGGTTTTATCTTATGATCCTGGAAGGAAACTGTAGTAGTCCTCGTGAGCACTTAGTCTGACACTGATTAGTTATAGATGGATAAAATATGGACAAATCGCAGGAAACACCTTTGCATAGTAAGAGCTTAATACAGCCCACAAGAGCACCAAGGTAGTGCCCCAGCTTGGGGCTTTTGTAGACTATGTAACCTCTAACAAAGTCACTCGTACGGAAACAAGCGTGCCGGTGAGATGCGTCGGGTCGCACGAGGTGACGTGCGGGCAGTCTCCAGTTTTGAGTCCCGACGCGCGTGTGCGGCTGCTTGCAGGGCCGGTCTCTGCCACGCCGCTCCAGGTAACGCAGGCGTACGGAGAGCCTGTCGCGGCAGGGAGGGTTCGAGGCCGTGCGGAGAGGTCAGCCAGGCTCCTCGGTCGTGAGGAGGTTGTGCTCCTTCTGAGAACAAGCCAGAAGGGAAGGCCGGCTGTTGGTTTAGTCAGCTAATGGGTATTTCGCTTAGGAAATAAGCCATGGTTAGCTGGCTCAGGAGAGGCAGCATCTGGGGCTGCTTTCAGCTTCTTCCAGCTACCGCTGGGAGTTAAAGGTATTAACATTCCAGGGAACTAATCCTGCCCCATCCAGCACAGTCTTCTGTGAGGGAAAAGTATTTTTAACTATGTTATACTTGCATACTGAAGGGTATTTAAGACAAATTCTGTGCCAATAACGACTAACGTGTTAATATCACTTATCGGTTCCTTTTGTTTACCTTACTCCCATCCTGTGAGAGTGAGGGTGGTTCCAAAATGGTGAATATTTTTTTTTAAAAAAAAGAGCAAGTACACTTGCATAACTATCCAGAGTTCAGTTATACCGGGTGCTAAAAACTGAGAAGCATTGGCATGTGATGATAATCCTTCTTACTAAGGTAACAGCAACCATATTTCATGAACATAAATGAATGGCTGTAGGAGTAATTGCAATGAAGAAACATCGCCAGGTGGTGGAAAGGTGGATGGGCCTTTCCAGCTTATTGGGCACATGCTTGGGTTACATGTGCCAAATCAGTTTTTGCAGCATATGGGACAGTTCCCTTCCCTGGTTTTCCTGCATCTAAACTTGAGCTTCACATGCAACCTTCTGTGGGGGAGTTATGTTGCTAAAGTTGCACTGCTGCAAGCTGACCTCTTCCCAAGTTGTTCTGCGGGGCTTTGGAGGAACGGTGTCCGCATGTGAGGCAAGCGTTTTGCCGTTGGCAAAGCACCAACGGGACTGTGTGGTATTTAATAAAGATGCTCAGAAATCAGTGACGCTTTGAGGGTTGGAAAAAATGGAGTTCAGGACAGAGTTAGGCTCTGATCTTTGGGGATTTTAGTGGAAAAACCTTAAAATGAGTTTTATTGCTCGTGGAGAGTAGTCTTTCCCAGGCACACACTGCATGATTCCCCTGGGGAAAAGGCACACTGCCAAGAGCCCAAAATTGCTGCTGCTGACTGGAAACCACTCCGAAACTGGACGTGCGATGGCACAATGTGCAGCGGCTCGCTACTGCGACAGTGCTGTATGTTTCCCTGCAGGGAATCCAAGTTCACGGGGGCTGGAGATGCTGGGTGGGCCTCAGGGACTCTGCCCAGTCCAGCATGAAGTAACCGCTGCTCTGACTTACACGAGAAGGGTCTCGCCTGTCTACAAAGGCTCTGTGGGTGTGTGCATGCAGGAAATGAAATCAGCAACTCTGTCGACAAAGTAAAGATGCACTTGTTTCCTCTGCTGCTTTTGGCATAAAGTGGTTAGGCTGTAACAGCCTGTACGCTTTCATTTGTTGTCATCCCCTGTTGCTAGAACTGATCTCTCTTTTTAAATTTTTTTTCAAACCACTTCATGAGTCTGCCCCCTTTCATGCTCTTTCTAGAAAGATTTGGAGGGGAAAGCTTCATCTTTATCTCATGCCATTTATCAGAGCACTTGTATATACAGGAGCTACCATTTGTGATAGCAGTGTCTGGCGGAAGTAGCTTCTGTTTCTCTCCAGATCCCCAGGCAACATATCTGACCTTCTCAGAGCTTTGGCAAACATTAACGGGTAGAGAGTAGTGTAATGAGACTGCTTCTTTAAATATTCATAATCTCTGATTGCTACTACTAAAGAAAATTGATGTATTTGTGGGGAAATATACTCATCTGGTGGTTTTCATGTTCCTTGCACTACCAAATCTGGTTGAATTTGGATCCACACTTAAAAGTGTCAGTGATGTTGTTGCCCTTATGATTTCAATGACTGGCTTCTGATCCTGTCTCATCAAAGTGGATATCATGTCCCGTTTTCCTGTAACTCTGGTACCCTTCAGTTGCTCACGCAGTACTTCTAATATCTAGCAGTTCTTGTTCTCTGCTTGAGACACAGAGATCGAGAAGGTGCCTGGGACTGAATCCTTCCCCTGCACCTGAGGACACGGCCCTGGTTAGGGCAGAGACCAGCTGGTGGGACTGTGGCATGGGGAAGCTTTTTGTGCATGACTCTGTGGAGATTTGTGTCCAAGAGTGGTACTGTCATTCACCAGTGATCAGACTGCTTGAAAGGGGCAATTTTGTGGAGCAGTATGAATGTTTGTAAACGGCGATTTAACATTTCTCTCCCCTTCCTTCTCCAATCCATGCAGGAGCAGAAAGTAAACATTGTAAAGGTGCTTAAAGATCTCTGGCAGGACTTCCTGCAGTGCTACTCCTCCCAGACCATGCTCTGCTGGTCCGTGTGGTGGGCGTTGTCCACCTGTGGCTACTTCCAGGTCATCAACTACGCTCAGGGCCTGTGGGAGATGGTGCTGCCTTCTCGCGGCATGGAGATCTACAATGGAGCCGTGGAGGCGGCCTCAACACTGCTAGGTAAGCTGCTACTGTAGCTCCTGCTCTGCTGTGAGCAATGCCTTGTGTCCCTCAAGGTTACCAGAGTACGGTTTGGAAGTGTCTTATGTTCCCCTATGCGTGCAGGAGAGGCAACCTCAGCATTGGGGTGAATCTTCAGTGACGCACGGTACTCAGTGTTGAGTTCATTGCTGCATGCAGCCCTGATTCTTGTAGTCCGGTGCGTAGGTGTTTAAAGGAGCCTCTCAAGTCAGTCTTCATTCTGAAGCATTTGGCAGAAGGCTCCAGGCATGTGGCTGACTGTTCTTGGCTGCCACTATGGCAGTGGGGTTATGCTTGTTTTAACCTCAAGGTCAAGCTCAGGGTCCTATGGATTTATTGCTTTTTCTTTCCCTGGCAGCACAGGGAACGTATGAAGGTTTCCTGTACACACGCAGCATGCAGTGAGCCACGTTTAGTCATTTCAGCACTAATAAGCTGAAAAGCTATAACGCTATTAAGATGAAAGAAGTTGCTTGACTTGAAAGGGCCACGTAGGTCAGTCAACACAAACATTTGTTTATTAAGTTGTTTAATAGTGTTCCATTACTAGAACTAGGACAATAGCGTTTTAATATAGCTAACGTACCCTTGCAGAGGCTTTCTAGGTGTTGCTGCAGTATGTTCCTTTTCTTTGATGGAGTTGTCATTCCACCATCTGCTGTGGGCATCGCCTACTTGGGGGCAAAAGAAAAGGTGGTACACAAACAAGGAAGGTTTAGGACTTTTTTGGGCATGCTCAGCTCTCTCTTGGAGTTCAGTGGGAAGCTGTGGCTGTTTTATAGTTCTAAAAGCTGGTCTACCACCCATTGTTAGTTGGGTTTGAAACTGTCGGCAACTTGATTTTGAAGGCTTTGGCTATTAAACTGTCTTTGGTGTGTTAAACCTGCACTTTAACAGCACGCAGTTGTACACTCTTTTTCCCTCCTAGCATGATGCTGTGGCTCCTATTTCTTGTTTGATTTGGCTTTGTCCACCATCCTGCCTTGGTCCCAGGAAGGAGAAGAACTGCCGCCAAGGGGAAGAGGACCCATACATAGCCTGGCCAAATGTGGGCAGATTTAAAAGAAAAAAGAGGAGTATTCTTCAGACCTTATTATGATCATCTTTGATATCAAGATTTTTTTTTTTTTTAAAAGACCTGTGGACAGTAGACTTGTTGGAGGAAACGGTGGTTGGCGCTAGACTCACGGAAAACTGAAGTTTTTTGGTTTCCATTTTGTTTTTTTTTTTTCTCTAGTATCGTTTTATAAATTGTTGAATGATTTTGTGTGATGTTTTCTGAAAGCAAATTAGCCTCTGTCCTTGAACAGAAAACCCTTCTGGTTAACACAGATTCGTTGAAGTTTAGCAAAGTAATAATCTCAACTAAAAGCTTGAAGTATATAACAAGACTGGAAGGGACCTGTTAAGGATGAGTATCCAGTAATCTGATTTCCTAGGCAATAGTGCAAATGCTCTAACTTCTTCTGATTTCCAGTTTGAATTTATTAATGAGCAGTTTGTTTATCTCTGACTTCATGCCAAGGCTGTATTTTAGCACAAAACTGTCTCATTCTAGTCTATCTATCCATACCTGTTCTTTGCTCTGGGCCAAAGAAGCCAAGCTTTTCTTGTTCTTCTTTTGGTAAAGTTAAGCTCTCCATTTACTTCGTCATCTTACTAGCTCCTCTTTGTACCAAACCTGCTTTGAGTTGCATTCTTTTTGAAAACAGATGCCCAGAGCTGCACTCAGCTTTTTTTCAGTCAGATCTCTGACTTGTAGAAGAATGTTGACACTCTTCACTTTTGTCCCTGTACTAGAAACACCTTTCCTGGTGCATCCCAGATATGATTTGCCATTGTCATGGCTCTTAGTAATTCTGTGCTCAGTTATGAGCAATGTTTGGCAACCTTCATGCAAGAAGCTGTTGCCATCCCTGCCTGTACCTGTGCTGCCCTGCAGAAGGGTTTGAGTAGAGCGTGGTGACTCGTGTGGCTGTCACCTTGCTGTCCCAGGCAAGATAAACGGTATTCCTTCTAGTGAGGCCAACCGACTGGTAAGCTGCATCCCTGCACCTTCTTGGGAATGTGGCAATCCTTTATTGGTTTGGGACGTGAAAGCTCTGAATCAACTGTAGGTATCTAACTGCAGGACGCAGATTGTTTATCTTGTCATAATTAGGTATCAGGCTGCTATAACCTTGAGGCGTAGGGGGAATACAACCTCATGAGTTGCCATGAGATCCCCAGAGAGCGATTATCAGTTCCTGAATTTCAGAATTGCTGAGATGGTAGAAAGAAGGGTCTAGGACTTAGCTGCTTTTTCATCTCAGGGTTTTACTACTGAGGGAGCTAGTCTTTCAAAGAGCAAAATGTCAGTCGGGTAGTGTCACAGCAGGCCCTGGAAAGAAGAGTTTAGTGGGGGGAAATAAATTCCTTTCCCTTGGCACAGTTACCTTCTTCACTAGTCTGCAAGACTGATGTGAGGTCTGACAGGGTTGCAGGCTTGTATGCACTGATGGTACCTAAGGAGCCTTCGTGTGCTTGAATGGTTTCTAAGATATCAGGCCAGCTGAGAGCTGCAAAGAGCTTAGATGCTGCGCTGTAGCACTTCTGCACAGTGATCAAATGCTGAATACAATCCTGTTTTTCAGAGGTCTCCAGTAAACCTCCCTTTGTCAGTATGCTGTTTGTCTAGTTTGCTGTGTATAGTCACTTGCAGTGTTGTTGTGCTGTTGGTTGCTATTTGACTTGTTTGCAGAACAGGGCCTACTTCAAATGGGAATTTTCTTGTAATATGTATTTGGGCTTCTCGGTAGTTACAACTGTGATAGTGCGTGAAACATACCTTGTCTGCTTGTTGACTTGCATGAAATATCACATGCTTTCCATCCGGTGATCTGTCTTCTCTCTCCATCCCCACTTTGTAAAATCCAG